AAATAGAATGCTTACTTCCTATTCCCAGACCACAGGGGGGAGAGGGGAGGAGGGGACGGGTATATGCACACACGAAGAGTGCAATGCACACCATGCGAGGGATGGATTTCGTAGTACATTTTAGAACTCCACTACTAAAATAGAATGCTTACTTCCTATTCCCAGACCACAGAAAAGATAACTGGTGTAATTTTTTTCAATTTTGAGATATCTTTCCTCTTTTGGTGACTGCCATCACCTCTCTGTTATTAAATTGTAGCAGAGAAAATATATTTACAGATTAAATAGGAAATAATCAATTAGTTTATTGGTATTTTTAATGACTATTTTTAGTGATGTCATGTTTTGACTTTGTAACAATAGCTGTATCTTCTGCTAGTCATATTGTTCCTAGAGAGGGACCACAGTATGTTATTACTTTTTAGTGCTCTGGAAAACGAAACTTCAAGATACCAACTTTTCTTTTTTACTATGTTTAGTAGTAATTTGCATGTGCTGATTAACAAATTAAAAATTAAGTATCTTCATTGTATTTCACTAATAACCAACTTTAACATGATATTATTACTATTAATAATAGCAGCTAACATTTATTGAGCTCTTACCACGTGACACACATTATCCTAAATTCCTTGCATGAATTAATTCATTGGATTCTTACAATGGCCTTATTCTATTTTGCATGAGAACACAGAAGCATTACTCAGTTAATTAAATTTCTCAAGGCCACTTAGCTAGTGCACGGTAATTTTGAGATTTGAGCCCAAGCATTCTGACTACAGAATCTAGACTCTTAATTATTACACTAATTAGCAACTTTTTAAAAATTTTCCAACCTCTTTCCTAATTTTAATAATCAGGAATACCAATGGCCACTTAGAAAACATTTATCAAGTGCGAAATTATGATTCTAAGGAATAATCAAGGGTTGATTACACTTATTTAAAATAAAAACCTGAGCAAAAAGTGATCCTATCAGGGTTATAACTTTTGCTACTTGCCATTGTTAATTTTCATGTTTATAGATCCTGAGCCTAGAAAAGTGGACATAGAGATTTATGAAGTAAAGCAATTCTCTAAGATGCCCTAGTGAATATTTTTCACATTTTTCTTACAATAAAAAGCATTGATTAAATAGATATCAAATACACCAGAAGGGTGAGGATAATAAACAAGTGAGGTAAGTTGGTATGCATAATGATTGGTATTTATATATTTTAGTAGATTGTAAGTTATTAATTACTACTGCAACCTTAGGTTCTTTGAACAAAGTTCAGGGAAATATCTCTAAAAACTAGCACAAACACTTACCTAATTGTTATCAGTAATCACCCATTCATCCACACTCATACTGTTAGAAGGAATTTCTAGCATTAAATAAATATTTTTTGGGCAACAGCTATATGTCAGGGACTATGTAAAGTGCTAGGATTTTGAAGCTTTTCTCAAGAGAGGTGATAAATATTGACTACAATTATAAAATGATTAAATTCTACAAGGTGCTATGGAAATATATACAGGGGTTCTAATTCATTTGAGAGCATCAAGAAAGGCTTTCTTGAGAAATGTCCTTCTATGAGGAAGATGCTGGGCTAGGCTGCATATCACACAGGAAAAAAATCAGAAGTAGATTTAATGCAAAAAACAACCTCTTACATCAGTTTACAAAGATTGCTTAATTGAATTTTATGTATTTTTACACAATAAAATTTTAAAGTTAAAAG